CCCCCCGTGTCAGAAATGCTAGGTGCACCACTGGACAATGGGGAATTTAAAGACAAACTCCATGAATGAACAAAATTAACCTTTGCAGCTGGGCTACCCCGTCACTGTAAGGTTTAATGCTTGTTTTGGTCTAGGGCTGAAAATAAAGAAGATACTCACCTGATCCTCAGCCCCATCTGACTGCTAGACCGGTCCCCGCAGCCTCTTCTCCCCCGGGCTCCAAGCCCTGCTGAGGTCATCACATCTAATGCAGGTCCATTAGACGTGAGGGCGCTGAAGGACATACCACAGTTGGAGCGGAGGGGGAGAGAGGTAAGAGAGAGTGCCTGCCGCTCAACCCAGGACCAGATATCATCTTTATTGTTGCCCCTAGACCAAAACGAGCACTTAACCCTTGCACTGCCAGGGGTAGCCCAACTGCAAGGGTTAATTTGCACACAAAAAAAACCCTGGAGTTCTTCTTTAATGGTCTTTAATGATCCACATAACTTGGAGCATGACCATTCAGTGAGGGGTCTTTATCAAACCTAAAGCAGACAGAATTTGGAGCAGTTGCCCATAGCAACCCATCAACTTTTCTCTTTTATTTTTAAAGCTTAATTGAACAAACTGGAGAGAGAAGCTGATTAGTTACTATGGCAACCGCTCCAGTTTTAATAATCCCCCCTCCCCCACTGTGCTATTCAAAACTGGAAGGGTGACAACTCTACATAGGTTGAATTGTAGCACTGCTGAGGTGTCCCCTGTGACCCATCTGACATCTTGATACCACAGGGACAAGAAGTAAGGCTCCATTCACACCTAGGCAGCAGCGTTTTCGCTCGCAGAAACACGCGTTGTTGTGCTGTACGTTTTTGCACGTTTTAGGCATGTGCATTAAGTTTTTGCGAGCAGATTGTGGCACATTGATGTAAATAGGCAAATGCACGTAAAACGCATGCAAAATGTTTTTGTCAGTAAAGCCTGACAGAAGCACTAATCCTTCCCCACTATCCAAAACAACAAAGTTTTTTGCCAGAAGTTTCACTCCTTAGGCTCCTTATACTTTACTATAATCATACATTATTATAATAATTCTTTTTATAAGCTGCAGACATTAAAAAATATGCTGAGATACAGTTTTGTAAGAAATAAGCCAATTGAAGCCTCAGTAAGCAGTAGTTTATTTTTTGCCCAGAGTAAAGATGGCTTCCATCATCAGCATGTATGATGTGATAGGACCCACCCCCTGGTCACATGACCTGGATACGCCCAAAGCTGGATCTATGTACTGCTGACAGTTGCAGAGCCTCCAGTGCTAGCAGAGGACAGCAGAGGTGAGTGCCAGAGGTCTGCTAATCCTTCCTGCGATCTCTTCCTATACTAGCAGATCACATTTAGACAATCCATGGCTGAGTGGGCATGCTGGGACTTGTTGTTCCACATCAGACAGGGGTTGCTTGGATAGTGTTAATTATTTGTACTAGTAATGTGTTATTGTTACTTTTATTTCTGTATTTCCTGTCTGCACTATAGTTGGGTGGAGAGTTGAGGATCATGGATTAGTTCACACCAGAAACTGCATCACAACTGTGTGTCTGCGCTGTTACCTTGCGATCTGTTTCGAGGCATTTGTGATGCGTTTTTGATGTGTTGTTTTCCCCTGCATGTCCCTGGATGATGCCACAATCCTGGTTTTTTTTTTCCTCCAGGGGTTCTGTTGTGTTTTTTAGTGCGTTTTGATGTGTTTGCACTGCATTTTGATGCGTTTAGTGCAGTTAGATGCAGGTAAAATAGGACAAGCAGTACTTTTTCTGACTGCATCTGAATGGACTGCAATGGTGTGAATTAGGCACAAGAAAGCCCATAGGAAAGCATTGTGATGTATTGTGACTGCAGCAGTTAAAATAAACGGACTCCCTCACAACTGCATATGGTGTGAACTGGCAGTCAGGGGAGTTATCACTCGGCTGCACTCAATGTGTCATGAGTTTTGGGGCTATACCTTTATATCATTCTTGCTCCCGGATTTGTGCCAAAAAGTAAAAACCACTAGGATGGCTTAAAGTATATTATAGGGGTGCTGGTCGCTTGTAGCTCCAAAAAACAACTTCTTTGTCCCCATAGTTGTCAATGGGAGCACCTGGAAAACGCATGTAAGGCATGTTTTCCTGCGTTTTTAATGCCTGGCCGTAACTAGCCTTCTGTTGGCTAAAACAAAAATGCCCAAGCCCGAAAATGTCTGCAAATACTTGTGCTCAAGTGTGTATGGCGGTGTATGGCGGCTCGGACAGTCGTCACGGGAACAACCGTTCTTCTTGGAAGATTTCTCCTCTATTCCTGTTCTGGCAGCTCAATTTTCAGATTCACCTTCATTGTAATTCCTGGTGATAGCGGTGATCAGGACAATTGGAGAAGGTGAATCTCCCTAATGGTTCTAAATTCTGAGATTTTTCTAAAATAAAAAGTTTGCCTCTAGTTATACTGTGAAATGTAACACTTGGTAGTATATTTATATAACATTCACTGCAGGGGAATCTTTTCTGGTGCATGTGTTTTCAATGACCGTGGCTGATTCACCTGCAGTAAGTGTTTGGTGAATGACACATTAGCTGCTATATAAACGTGCCAATGAATGAGCTTCTTGGATCTGTTTTCACCCAACCGTCACACAATTTTCTGTTGAATCTAGTCAGAGAAATGTGTGCATCTTGGGTGAAAGTTGTGTGAAAACATTTATAATTTGACCCCTTAGGGTTTTTGCTCGCCAAGCATTATTAAATCGCTCTTATTAAACGCAAAGTCATGACCGGTTGTCGCAGGAGTTGTGGAGCCACAACAGCACTTTCCCAGCTTGTGTAACATTTGTGGCATGTCCTCTGTCAGGCCTTGTTCACACCAAATGCAGACCAGATCCGGTCAGGTTTCTGCACACGCAGTGCAGTGGGTTGTGACACGTTTTTGATGGGTTTAGGGCCGGTTTTGGTAAAAAAAAAAATTATTTTTTTAAAGTTTAACCTCTTGCCGTCCGCCCGTAGTAAAAAAACGGACGGACGGCACTGCTGCATTTGCGGGTTGCCGCACGGGCAGAAAAGACCCGACCATTAAACACACCCGTTACCGGGTGTTTCACATATAGGCGATCAGCGGGTCCATAATGCGCAGCCGCCGGTTTCCCATCTGAATACTGAAAAATGGCCTGGATGGGAAGGGGGTTTAACAACGCGGATGTCAACTGGTTAACATGGGCTTTTAGGCACTTGCATGCATTTTTGATGCGTTTTTGCATTTAAGATGCGTTCCCGACCAGATACACACCCGGTAAAATAGGGCTTGCCGCATTTTTTTCATCCGGTCTGGATCTGGTCTGGATCTGGTCTGGATCCGCACGCTGCGATGTGAACTGGAGGTCAAAATACCATAGGAATACATTGGACGCAGTTTTGATCCGGTCTGCACCTGCTCTGGTCCGGATCTGCTCCGCGCCTGGTGTGAACAAGGCCTTATTCTTCCAGTAAAGGGCCACATGGTGACACGTCTTCTATTAGTCTTATAGTAAAGGGCTGCATGGTGACACGTCTTCTATTAGTCTTATAGTAAAGGGCCGCATGGTGACACGTCTTCTATTAGTCTTATAGTAAAGGGCTGCATAGGGACACATCTTCTATTAGTCTTCTATTAG